AATTTTAAATGGGATACAAATGGGACATATTTTTCTAGTCCCAAAAATCCTGTTACCGTTCCGTTCCCGTGAAATCCCGTCCTATATTCCCGTTTGCCCAACCCTATATAAAACTATTGTGTCTTACAAAGATTTTGATGAATTGATGAGCGAGCGGATTTTTTTTTGATAAAATATAAAAAAGAATACAAATTTATGGACAGTAGATACATGTGTGACATATATCTTTGAACATACAATGAAAAAGTGAAGAATTCTTATTTGTACAGTGAAAAAACATATCTTTGAATATACAGTGGAGAATTCTTATTTTTATAATCTCGCAAAATCATATGTACTACTGAAAAAAAAAACTAAATTAGTTTTATGTTTTAACTAAAAAACATTCAATCTATATTTATTTTTTAAAAGAAATTAACATCCAGTGTAAGTTATATCATCAAAATTTTTAGAAGCATAAAAAGATATTTCACAATCATATAGTAAAATGAGATGTCATTTTCACTTCTAAACTAATACAATGTTTTTAATCATTATTATATCAAAAAAAACCAGCATTATTATTTTTTGTTATAAAAATAATAACAAAAATAAGATTTATGTCGTTTGTAATAAGATTTATGTCGTTTGAAACTAATATTTATGCCTGTTTCGTCTAAATATATGATAAGTTTTTTTCTTGTAACAAAATTTTTTTTTAGTCGAAGTCTTGCAACAAAATATTTATGTCGCATGTTTGATTTATTTTAGATTGGCATCTAAGCTTGGAATTTAGTTGAAGGCATATAGTATAATTTTTGTGTCAATTTATATAGTAAAACTGAATAGTCCGCATATGCGCGGGTTAAAAAACTAGTCTGAAAAAACAACACAGAACAAAAATCTAACTTCAATCTGTTAGAAATAAATATGAGCATGACCAAAATAAAAAGATGTTTAAAACTGGTTTATCAAAGTTTATGACTTGAATCACCGACTACACCGACTGGACCGACATAGACATATCCGACTATATAAATTGGACTCAAAATTTCCTCAAGACGATCATAGCAAATACATCACATCTAGGGCAGGAGAAGAAAAATGTCGTCCGAATGTCCTGGTAAG